AATTTCTATATGCAATTTGTTTGTAATTAATTACAAACAAACGAATGACTCACAAACCTTTCTAATTGCACTAGAAACGTCTACATACGAAATACAAACGATTGCATATAGAAATTATTTAAAAATACATTCAGTCGGCGTCAAGTATGAGGGAATTTTACTTACGACTACGACTTCTATTGTAGACCAGCCTTTAGGGTTTAAATCTCTATTGTAAACTGGGACTAATCCCCGATCTTCCCGCGAATCGTTCGAAAGGTTAGGTTCGATTTCGAAAAGCAGACGACGGGCTGATTCACGCGCATTTACATAACACGACATACGTTGCGTTGCATACACACAACGTATTGCGTACGAAGCACGTGTTCTCTCGCCGCCTTGCATCACTTTCAATCACTTTGCATCACGCGTCGCTCTCGGGAGAAGTGAAGGATCGAAAATCCTCGGCCAACAATCGCCGCGCCGATGATCGTGCGGGCGTTCTCCACGCCGAGGGATCCGCTGCGAGGTGTATCGAGGTAGTCTTTCGAGCAAAGCTCACTTTTCCGCCTTGTCAGCTCGATGACGACCCTCGAGATCGTCCTGTCAACCAACGTCGAGACGGGGCATAACGTGGCAAGGAGATGCCTCACAAGCAGGAGACCGCAACGAATCTCTCTAAGAGACATATCCTACTCACGTCGTTTATCGTAGGTGTCTCGTTACTCGTAACAGCGTTACACCGCTTTTCGGGGTTTCAAATTAATGTTCGTACAGCAAAACACCCCTTATAGTTTTAAGTCGGCTATCTTTCAATTAACGCGCCTTTCTTTGACATTTCTCTTTGAAAAGGTAATAATTTTTAACAGTTATCTCACCCGTTTTCTTAATGTCCTTTTGACCACGGTTTGTCGTGACCGGCTAATTACAGCTCGATATTTTAGTTTTAATCGTCATCATCAATCGCACGTTGATTGCTTACCGAGCGTAAACCTCGCCGATTAACTCCAGGCGAATTCCACCGTTGCAAATTGATTTTCCTAGCTCGGAGACAAATTGCGCTTTTTTATTTCCTTATTAAAAAAAAAAGACGTAAAATTTGTATGATTTTATTTAGAAAATAATCGCTATTTCACGTCAGTCAGGTGCTCTTGCAGGGATCGCTTGTGACGTGACACTTTTCCCACTGGACACCCTGAAAACGCGCTTGCAGAGCCAGCATGGGTTCCTCCAGTCCGGCGGTTTCAGGCAGCTGTACAAAGGTGTGGGTCCCGTCGTCCTAGGTTCAGCTCCGTCAGGTACAATTCACCACTGATAACAGTCGTATCGAGAGAGCACCCTGTCTCTAAGGTACGACAAATGTAATATCAGCCTGGTATTAACGAGAACGGTCTTGTTGCAGCTGCTATATTTTTCATCACTTACGAGGGAATAAAACAGTATTCGCAACCGTACATACCAGATCAGTATCACTCCATTGTGCACATGGTCGCAGCGTCGTCTTCCGAAATAGTGAGTGACTTGTTAACGGCATTCAACGATGAATACGGTCGAATAAATCCGAATATTTCAAACTTTTGCGTTAACATGCAAAGATAGTTATGTGTAAATTATATTTTACAAATTACGTATCGCCAAAAATGTGTTTTACAACAATATATTGAAACTTACTTGACGCATAGACTGCCTGTTCGGTTCGGGTGCCCGTTGAGGTGATCAAACAGAGGAAACAAGCGCTCTTGTCCGACGTGCATCGCCTGAGATTAAGAACGCTGTATCGCGGTTATGGGAGCACCGTCCTACGAGATCTACCGTTCGGCGTGATCCAAATGCCATTGTGGGAGTATTTCAAGCTTTGCTGGACGCGACGAGTTCAGCGGGAATGCACGCCCCTGGAGGGCGCCGCCTGTGGAGCCGCGTCAGGTAATAACTCAAAAACTCTCGTGCACGCAGTGAAATAATTTTAACAATTTTGAGACAATGCGAATCGTTGCTTATACCATTTTTCATTTCAGTTACTATATCGGCCGCTCTAACGACGCCGTTGGACGTTGCCAAGACTAGAATTATGTTGTCAAGCACTTCGGCGGAAACGGAAGAAGTTAAGATATCGACGATGTTGAAAGAGGTTTACAGAAACCATGGCATTAAAGGGTGAGAATTGTGTAAGAGCTTGTAATTCTCAATCGAAATCCATTCCCGACATTTCAACGGAATAACAAACCATTTCAGGTTGTTCGCTGGTTTCCTTCCGAGAGTGACCAGCTTCACTATTGGCGGATTCATATTTTTTGGCGTTTACGAACAGGCCAGAGAATTTTGTATAGCCTACTTTTCCTAGTTGCCGATAAATTTAGCGAAAAAATTATTAACTTTATGAATACATTCTAGTAATTGAGCTTTCTTACTCGGCAATGTCCTACTGGGATCAATTCCGAAAAGTAATTACTGGATAATAAAATTGCTAATAAAGTGAGTTTTTTTAATTTACTTATTACTAATATTTTACAAATGTAACAAAATTGAAGCTTGAAAGGATCGCGTTTGTATATTGTCAGCCTCGTAAGGAATTTTAAAGAAAATAAAACTGTTTCAAGTTCCTACTTAGATCGGTTTGTATAGAGTGATAAGTTATTTTTGTTATTTTGGATATAGTTGATTTGTTAGCTTTAATTAAAAGAATTACAGAAACATTTAAAGCATAACATCGATTTACATCGAGCACATTGAATAAAGTTTACATCTTTTAATTGACACTGTACGGTTTCTCTACATACGAAGAAATATACGTTTTCAAAAATTCGGCCGTTAATTTGTTAATATCCTTTGTATGATAGGGCCGTATTTTCTCGTCGTTTCCTGCATTCATAAAAAGACGACAGGCAGTATTTTTCCGGATGCAATTAACGCATACTGCACTTGATAGGAATGCGTTATATTATGAAGGCTTTTCTTCATTACCAATACGGTTTTTGATCCTTACGCTGCGAGAATCTTATTATACACTGTTTGATACTAACAGCCAGTCTGATCAGTGTTTTTTATTCAGTTTATTCAGTTTATTATAAAATTAAAATCAGTCAGGAATAATAGTTCTTGTTTGTATTCTAAATCGTTCCGCTGCCTTTACAGTTTCTTCCAAGGTTACGTGATCTCTGCCGGGACCACAAAACTTGCAGATTTTATTTTTCTCTGCTTTATTTTATATTTCTGCTTGAATCTCGTTATCCAAGATTCACTGGCACTGAATGTAAAACCATCGGATAAAAACGGAAAGGCTGCAGCCATTGCCCACTGCTGCAGCATTCTCGTTGTTACCTAGAAAAACCGAAGTATGGAAGCACGTTAATTAAGCTTCAATTTTTTAAATCGATTTCTACAAATATTTTGTATGATTTTACTTGCTTACGACACTTTCTTGCTTTTTTAAATCGTTCTAAAATCTCCGTTTCAATATGCTTCCATTTGTCGATATTTGTCCCTCTTCGTTCTACATCCTCTTTCCATTGTTTTAATAGACTTTTCTTTTTTAAAAGAGAGCAGCCACGTCTTTGCAATGTTTGTAAAGACCATTTCGGATGCGCTTCTGCTAGAGCAACTGTCTTCTCTTTATACGCTAACGAAATATAATTGTGCCTTCCTTCAAATTGCTCTACTACATAATCTGGATCATCGTTGCCAGGTACATCTTTGCGCTATCAGCAAAGAATTTATAATCGTGTCAACTTTACCAATTGCTAAAATAAAAGTAACAAAAATTTCGACGAAAAATTCAAAACATACCTCCTTATATTCTTTTTCGCTGTCAGTCTGCTCGATAATCGTAAGATCTTCGTCATTGAATGTCTTTTCGTCGTTTATTAAATGTTTTTGTTCTCCTAACATGCGCATGATTTCCTTAAAAATTTTGTCACCCATTGCAACGGAAGCGGACGATATTGCTCGAGATGGTGTATTTGTGAGCAGATTCGCGGATTCTAATAGATATTTACAATACGTAAGTGCATTTGTAAGATTGTTTTTCATCTCGTCGTATGTCTCTTCAACAGGGTCCATGTCTATTTTACAAAGGAATTCATCTAATTCAGATGGCTTCTCCACACTAGCGCCTGGCTCTTGCATTTTGCAATACTTTCTTCACTCCTCGCTAATATGAACACGTTATAAACGGCAGCCCCGTCATAAGCATGAAGCGTTCGTGAGAGTTCATAAGAGAAAGACGAGGAGGTGGATTGTGTATCTCTGAAACTTTACTTGTGAAAATGACAAAAGTGAGCGAATTCACAGGTTGAAATTATAAATATTTTAGTATTTAGATTGGTACTATGGTAAGTCGCCAGTGATAATTAAAGGAGGTAATGTTGAAGTTGACCAATCCGGCAAATTTATTTCTTAAACGTACAACGTACAAGGCAATCACTCTGTGGTAACTAACAATTGTACAAATTATGGCCACGATTTTCATTGGCAATCTCCCAAAATCTTACACAGTGAGAAACACAGGAGAAAAAGAGAGATTGCTGAAATGTTCTATATTAAGAAATTCGATGATTAACCTACAGAAAGACACCGATAACTTTAATCAACTCTGTCTAGTCTCCGTATGGTTATTTTTCATGACTATTTATGAACTTGAACACGTGTATCTCCACAGTCAGTCTTTGTTTAGGGACGAGGATCGAATGTCTTCGCAACGGGAAGACATTCGATCCTCGTCTCGTTAAGCGCTTGTCATTACACGACATGTTTAACTGTAAGTTTAAAGCACTTTCTAAACTCTGTAAATACCTTAATTGAAGTAATTATAATGTGATTCAGAGATCTGATGGCGTTCCAATCAAAATAGTCTGCTTGAAAAGGGCCAAAACCCATGGCCGAAACGTTGTACGTTTAAGAAATAAATTTGCCGGATTGGTCGACTTCAACATTACCTCCTTTATTTTAGTATTCACTCACTTTTGTAATTTTCGTTTCGAAAATCGACCCCCACGGATTATACGCTGTATCTATGAGCCAGTGAGATCAAGATCGGTAAACTCTTGGGCGAATTCTTAATCCGTTTGTGCGACGCCAGCGCTACGAGTGGCAAAATTTTTGATTCAATATTTTGCAATAATGGCCGCGTTCAGCAGACACAACTGTTGAATGAGCGCTCAGTATGATTGGTTAGTAATTTTAGATCCAGCCAATCATGTTAAGAAATTATTGAGCGCTCGCTCAACAGTTGCGTCTGCTGAACGCGGCCAATGGCTGCGTTCAGCAGACACAACTGTTGAGTGAGCGCTCAGTATGATTGGTTAATACTTTTAGATCCAGCCAATCATATTAAGAAATCACTGAGCGCTCACTCAACAGTTGTGTCTGCTGAACGCGGCCATTGTCGGTCTATGTTTGGTGACGTAATCAAGCCTAGCTCGGTCTCCTTGGGTGCTTTCGCGACGTAGGTCAAAATGATCCGGATCAAAATGATCCGTGCTATGATTGGTCAAATCTGGAATTTCATTGAATAAAATTTCAATGTGATGCTACGAAATTTCAGATTTGACCAATCATAGCACGGATCATTTTGATCCGGATCATTTTGATCTACGTCGCGAAAGCACCCCTTGTACAGACTCCATGAATAAAGCCTTGTGTCCACGTTCCAAGAACTGTGTCCAAGTTCTAGTTCCAAGAAATGTGCATCCAATCAACCTGTATTTTTTATGGAAAAACTGCAAGTTGATTGGCTACGCATTTCTTGGATCGTGGACACAAGGCTTAATACCATAAGTATAACTATGCCCACTCTGTCATTTCAAGATAATTTCAAGATCAAAATTATCCGGATTAAAATGACCTTGTGCTACGATTGGTCAAATCTGAAATTTCCTAGCGTCACATTGAAATTTTATTCAATGAAATTGTAGATTTGACCAATCCTAGCATAAGATGATTTTAATCTGGATAATTTTGATGTTCTCGCGAGAGCAGGGGCTCGATTCTTGAATTTATTCGAAGGAGAAGCGTATGCGAAAATTCTGCTCTTACAGAAAAGTTGAAAGTCGATTGGTTAAAGCCATGCGAATAGCCAATCGACTTTTAACTTTTCTGTCAGAGCAGAATTTTCGTATACGTTTCTTCTTCGAATGAATTCAAGAATCGAGGCCCAGAACCAGCTATCACGGTCTAAAGTTTGTACATACATGTTTTCACATGGGTGAGGTAGGAAACGCGCAGTCTATCGTTACTCTATGTCTATGGTTGCGCCGCTCTTCCCCCTCCTTTCGGTAGGGAAATTCGATTAGTTCGGGACGCATGGCGCGCGTCAGCTTCTCGCCGTGCCAACAGCGGCCAAGTTCACGTCGTTTGACCGGTCGCTCGCACATGGCGGCCATGTTTTAGGACGCGTTTACTAACCGCGCGGTGCATCTCGCAGAATCGAGTTAATTATTCTTCAACATTCGGCTCGAATAGCTGCACTTGCAAAGCGGACGTCGCGATACCCGCAGGAATCATCGCGCGCCGGTCGGCCAAATCCCGCCGTGCATAATTGATTATCGCGCGCAACTGTCGTGCACAGTCGATACGCGATTTTTCGCCGCGATGGACGTGCGCCCAGTGCACCCACAGCCAACTTCAGAGGCGTGTCATGTTTGCGCTCGGCGCGTTGCTTCGTGATCGGGATTTTCGCGTTTCATCGTCGGGAATCTATGAAAAATGCTGTCTCTAGGTCCGAAAAAGGACGGCGGGCCCAACGCCAAGTTCTTCGAGGCGCCGGAGATTCTCACGCAACTCGATGGCGTCAAGCAGTGGCTTCTCAAGAACTGCAAGAAGGTACGCTCGCTCGTACGAACATGGATACCACCCGGCGTCGTAAACCCGTCGCGGTGCCTGCGTGCGGGCCTCGCTTTTACTCTCGCGGCCCGCGCTACCGTGTCGCCGATCGCGATTTTTTCACGCCGGTCGTCGGCGCCTCTTGGAAATTGCATTTCTCCGCAGCGAAAAGTTTCGCGAATCTCCCCGTAATACGGGTGGATCTTGTAGCGCTGACGCGGACGCTAAGAATCGGCTCGATGACTCTACATTATCGTGGCATTTGTTAACTATTTATTTATCACACATATACTCGTGTATGTATATGTATGTGCATATGTACAGTGAAAGCATAAAATTTATATTATATATGCTTGTTTTTATTATTACATAATTACCTAATTTTGTGCTTTTGCTGTAATATATATATGTATTTTTTTACATATACATGTATGTAATAATAAGTGAAAAATTGACAAGGAAAATGTGATCGTGATTAAAAAGCGAGAGTAGTATTTGCATATAAACTCGTAGTAACTTTTTGTACTACGTTGTGCAAGTATATTCATAATTTTCTTGTGACTATAGTATGTACAAACGGATCCGCCCACTAACAAGAGCTTAGCCACGTTGCTGGTGCAGCTTCTGCAGTTTCAGGAGGACAATCTCGGGAAAAATGTAACAAAGCCATCTATGACTAGACTTCCAGTACGTAAAATATATGTGTTTTATGCAAGCGGCAGAAGTGATGTCGGTGTAGCTCGTATCAATTATTTACGCGTTCAATTCTTACAGATGAAATGCTTCCTGGATTTCAAGCCTGGAGGTGGCGTGTGCCACATACTAGCTACTGCTTATCGTTTCAAACAGGAGCAAGGATGGCGGCGCTTCGATTTTCCTGGTGGAAAAGTAATTGTTTAATGCTTCTTTCAAGTGTACCTTTTGCAGATAGAAGATATCTTTATATAATATTGATACATTAATATCTTCTTCTGTAAAGCCTTGTGTCCACGATTCGGGAGAACTGTGTCCAAGTTCTAGTTTCGAGAAATGTATAGCCAATCAATTTGCAGCTCTTTCGTAAAAGACGCAAGTTGATTAGCTACCCATTCCTCGAAAACTAGAACCTGGACACAAGTCTTAAGAATCGCACAAGTGTGGAACTTGTCACTGATTAGCGAATCGCTGGTCATTACAGTCGGGATCCCGTATGGATCGTACGGTGGATATGCTGATGGCGGCGGAACGTGCTTTAATACAGAACAGATGTATAACTGTACCAAGTATTTTCGTGAGACCGGATGTTGACAAGAACACAGCTGCGAAAGTAAAAGATGTGATTAGAAAGCATCAGGGGACTGTCGTTGAAAACGAGGCGGATGCTACGCACATCATCTACCCTCCAGTAGATCCGATGGAAGAGGAATACGCGCGGCCGTGTATGAGACGCGAGCGGTCGGTTCTGATTCATTGGTACTACTTTCCAGACAGTTACGATTCTTGGTTGACACTGGACCTTCCATGGGACTATCCCGAGGGAAATTATGCGAACACAAATTCAAGGTGCTTAGACGTTTAATAATTTTTTTAAATGTAAATTAAGCTAATTAACTGGTGAAAATCGTTTACTGAAAAATTGACAGTCAATTGAAATTAGTTGAGACTATTGGTATCAGTATATGTTGGAAGCGCGTTGTTGACAAAATATTTACCTCTACTTATGTATTTAAATCGTATGAAAGTGTTAAGTATAAATCAATATGTCAAATACATTCTATAATTATTCTTTAGATCGATGTATAAAGTATCGGCTACATGGGCGTTAGACTTAGAACAATACAACGAGTGGATGAACGAAGAAGATTACGAGGTCGACGATAACGGTCAGAAAAGAATACACAAATACAGGCTCTCGGTGGAAGATTTGATGGCGCAGCCATCCCATCCGCCACCCGCGAAGAAACCCAAGAGGAAACGATCGCCCAGCCCACCTCCGAAGCTCGGCAAGCGTAAGAGGTGCGTGCGGTTTCGATAGCAAACGATAACAAGCTGAAACGAGACTTCGCTCACCGCCAATTTCGTACGTTGCCGTTTTTAGTAGCAGAGCACCGTCGGGTATCCAGAGCGCTTCTTCCGCGTCGTCGGCAACGGCTCCGAAGAAATCACGCGGCGGCGAGGAGGAGGAAGATCTGACTCAGGGAATGGAGGACCCGCCCGCTGAACCCCGTATTGTCGAGGTGGTCGCTACGCCCACGAATCCACCGGTCGCAGGTCAGGGTAATGCGACAACGGGCAACTCCACATTGACGACTACCGGTAGCAAGAAACAAGACAGCGAGCTTCAGCCTCTGAAATCTGGCAATTTGACCGATCTGGATGAACAGATGGAAGGCAAGAAAATTTAGATCATAATGCGATACATATTGACGACATCAGATCAATAGTTGAAAACGTTTTCAAATTATATGTTATAGCGAATTTGGTTGCTTGCACTAGTGCACACTAGGACTTTGTTTACAATCAATTCTTATATTTAACTTTGTCTTAAAATTACATGTTTAAAAAGTCTTTAATTAAAAAAAAAGTGATCCGCACGTATGTTGTACAAATCATTTTACTGGCTAAGAAATATTAAGAAATATGTAAGACGATCTTTTAATGTAAGGATTGACTGTAAACAAGCCTTAATGTGCACTCAGTTCGTACCAGCGCAAGCAACCAAATTCGCTATTAATTTAATGAACCCTGAATTAAAAACTATCGATATCACGTAGGAGACAAAGGAAGCTCTCAAGGTGGGCAGGATAGAGAAGAAAGAGATACTAGTAAAGAAAGGGGTGAGGGTGGCAAGGGCGACGAACCGGAGGACAATGTGACGGAGCAAACACATCATATCGTTGTTCCCAGCTACTCCGCCTGGTTTGATTACAATTCGATTCACACCATAGAGAAGCGGGCTTTATCGGAATTCTTCAACGGTAAAAATAAATCCAAGACGCCAGAGATCTATCTTGCGTATCGAAACTTTATGATCGACACCTATCGATTAAATCCAACGGAATATATTACATCAACCGCCTGCAGGTAATGTTTTATTAATTGATGTATGCATGTAAAATTGTTATATATTTATCATTGAATACAAGTGAAAAAGACGATTTCGCTCCACATGAAATTTTTACATACGAACTTCAACAGGCGGAATTTAGCCGGGGATGTATGTGCGATTATGCGCGTACACGCATTTTTGGAACAATGGGGACTCATCAACTATCAAGTAGACGCAGAGTCCAGACCGACGCCAATGGGACCTCCACCGACATCGCACTTCCATGTTCTATCGGACACGCCATCCGGTTTGGCACCAGTTAATCCGAATCCGCCGAAGACACCGCAGCCCTCCGCCGCAAAGATGTTGCTCGACTTGGAGAAGAAGCCGGTGACGGTGCCGGGTGTCCTGGGCCCGGAGGAAAAGGCCTCGGCGGGCGCGATGGCAAACTTCGGTCTGAAAATCGACCAGTACTCGAAAAAACCGGCGGTCCTGAAGAACAAACAAGCGGCAGGTGCCACGCGCGACTGGACGGAACAAGAGACGCTTCTGCTGTTGGAAGGATTAGAATTGCACAAGGACGATTGGAACAAAGTATGCGAACACGTGGGCTCGAGAACGCAGGACGAGTGTATCTTGCATTTCTTACGTTTACCTATAGAGGATCCGTATCTGGAAGAAGGCGGGCCCGAAGGCTTGGGCCCATTGGCTTACCAGCCAATACCGTTCTCAAAAGCCGGTAATCCTGTTATGAGTACGGTCGCCTTTCTTGCTTCGGTTGTGGATCCTAGAGTAGCCGCGAGCGCTGCAAAGGCAGCTATGGAAGAGTTTGCTGCGATAAAGGATCAAGTACCAGCTGCATTGATGGATCAGCATTTAAGAAACGTTCAAGCTAGCGCTAATTCAGATGGTAATTCTTGTAACTGTATATTACAATTTCGGAGCTAATGCGCTCTGGTGAGACAATACATGTGACGAATGCACACCAAAACAATTATTTTTTTTACAGGTAAATTTGATCCAGCAGCAGGGTTGGCACAATCGGGCATCGCTGGCACAGGACCACCCGAACCGCCTGACGATACAGCGGCTTCTACCGCGACAACGACTCCGTCTGTACCGGCGGGTGCGGCTAGCTCTCCTCACAGCGCCACAGCGCCGACTCCCGAAGCGAAGAAAGAGGAACAAGATAAAGCTAAAGATGCTATGGAGGTCGAACCATCTCAGGTAGAAGTTACGAAGAAAGAGGACGAGTCGAAAGAAGGCGAAGAAGATGCAAAGTCCACCACTGATCCAGAGGCTGCTGAAGCCAAAGAGAAGAAGGACAAGGTAAATATCACAATTATGTGAATTGATTCGCACGCGTTATAAAAGAGAGTATCAAAATATTTAAACAATTGGTACTGTCCAATACTATAGGTTTAAGCTTAATTTTTTTTCGCAGGTGGTAAGGGACGCTCAGCTTCAATCCGCGGCGGCAGCAGCGCTAGCGGCTGCAGCTGTTAAAGCCAAGCATTTAGCAGCTGTGGAGGAACGCAAGATCAAGTCATTGGTTGCGTTACTAGTCGAAACGCAGATGAAGAAATTAGAGATTAAGTTGCGCCACTTCGAGGAGCTGGAAACTACGATGGAGCGTGAACGCGAAGGTCTCGAGTATCAGCGGCAACAGCTCATCACCGAGCGGCAGCAGTTTCACCTTGAACAATTAAAGGCAGCCGAGTTTAGGGCACGACAGCAAGCCCACCAGCGATTGGCTCAGGAACAGCAGCAACAGCAGCAGCAGCAACAACAACAGCAGCAGCAGCAGCAGCAGCAACAACAACAGAATCAACAACATCCACCCTGGCAACCGCCTGGTGCGCAGCAACAGCAGCAACAACCGCCAAGTCCGCAGGCTCAAGTGCAACAGCAGCCGCCACCGCACACGCCACCGCAGCAGACATAACTCTTTCGTGAGTTTGAATCTTTAAATAATTAAATAGTTGGTCAAGTCAAATTTTTACAGATTATACGACACATTAACGTTTCTCCAGTCCTCCAGTCCTTCTCCGTTTTGATTCGATGATGATTATCTGCTTCGAAGTCGCTTCCACGATCAAGTATACAAAATAATTTCACATCGTTTTGAGGCACTCCGTATCTCGAGGAAGAAATAAATGTAGTTTGTAAATGTTTCACGGTACTTTTGATTTCTATTACATATGGACGCACGTGTTAAATCGTGGGAAGAAACTATCTTTCTTCATACATCACGTACGTAAAACAGAAAAGGGGAGATTTCTCGTGGAACAAATTGTGTATCGCTCTTTTTCAATGAGTTAAGAATTATAAAAGACGTACACATTTGCTATACATTATACGTATTATTACATATAATATTGTTGTCAAATAATGTGACATTTGATCTACAGAGCCTCGTTGTCTATCAATTCCAGCACTAAGTCAGTCATGAGTCGGGCGCACTCGGCGCCTCCGGGTGGCGGTGCTCCTGCGGTACTATGTTTCTCCTCGCTAGTTTCCGTGCTACTTGTTTCGTACAGATTCGGTGCTTCGTGACTGGCGCACGTGCTAATCGGTAGAATGTCCAATGCTAATCCCAATCCGAATCGTCCGCATCTCCGCATCTCTTCCTTTAATCTATAATTGTTGAATAGACGATAATATCAAAGAGGTGATCAAGCCGTCCTAAGTCTATGTTTTTCGACTCGGAACGTGGCAAAACTGTACATAATATATTTATCGATTTTATAGAAATATGGAAATAAGACCATTTGCACAAATAAACTCTTTGATTAAACGATAAATTGCATAAAGTACAAATAGTAAATATATTATAGTTCTGTCGCACGTCTGAATCTCGGCATTTTACTTACAATTCCCACATAACAGCTGGATCTTTCGGCGGCTGTTCCGGATTGAGAATGCACAAGGAGGACATCAGATGGGAATGATAGTGCTGGAGAAGCTGTGTCATGTAAGCCCGCCTAACAACACCACTCGTGCAGCAGTATAGCAAGTTCGCAAGATCAAGAGCGAGTGAACCGACCCGCGTCAGTTGAAAATCAACTAGATAAACGGCCTGCAGAAGCACAGTATTAAAAAAAATCAAGTCTAGGAGGTTTCGCAGTGAGACGCATCTCACATTCGTGCCAGCCGACATTGTCGGTCTCGAATGTGATTTATAGATCACAACGCGGGGTAAATATTCTTGCATGGTAACTGTCTTTTTTTATGAAGTGATTATCTGAAATTTTTTATCCAGCATGGATGAAAAAGTAAATGGTTGAAAGAGTGTGAGAGAGAGAGAGAGAGAGAGAGAGAGAAAGAGAGAGTCGAGTACGAGTGTGTAAAATGTACATTATATTTCTTTTTCTGAAACTTTTTCCAACTTTCGGATATATTACCTAATTTTTAAGTTATAATTTTTTCTGAAAGTCGACAATGGCGGAGTTAATTAGATGTAATTATACATAATGCAAGAATTTTTGCGACCGGCTACACGGGTCTGGGTGTGATCACTCTCGTTAAACCGGAATCTTTGTAATAAGATCGCAAATGGAAGAAAAAACATTTGAATCGTATAAGAATCTTATAAATTTATATAATAAAAGTATATGGAACAACAAAAGTGGTTTCTCGTTTCGTCATCTCGCGTAAAGGATTTGAAAAAAAAAAGCCAACAAAGGGAGGTGATTACCGTTATCGACGGTAATCATCTTCTATTGGACATATGCGACCTTTTTATTGTAGATATTATCAGACATGCAATGTGTATTGCGCTTTTCTAATTTACTTTTCTTACAAAATAAAAGATTCACCTCTGTATCTGAGCTTGGTTCATCCTGAAAGAGGAAATTGTTGGTCCAACAGTCACCGTGACAAAACACGGAGAGGGGTCCTTGCGCGGAGACGAGCTCGCTCATAGTGCGGAAAAACACGTCTTCGTTTAGGAAAGCTTGCAACTTGGTCATTACCTCCTGCCTTCTGTGGTCCATGTTCGAGGGAAGTGCTTCGGACACCATCGTGATGGCGTTATTCGCGGCCACGCGGTAATACTGACGATACCAATCTTCGTTATCCCGTCGAAATAACGTTTCTTGTATACCGTGATCATGTTCCGGATTTTTCAAATTCGCAAACTCCTCCGGCCTTTAAAGAATCAACATCCTCTTGCATCAAGAGCAGAATACGAGTATAGCAAAACTTATTATGTAAAAAACGAAATTCCTGTTTAGTAATATTTTTAATTACAGCGAACTATCTCCAGGAGTTGCCCAGAATAACTCATCATTTTTCTACAATTATGACTAAAAACTAGACATACTTACTTGGAGTCCTTCAACGTCAAGCTAAGTGCGTGAAAACCCGCTAGAGCCTTCAGCACGTACTCCAGATTCTCCACTTCTAATCCTTTCCGTCTATCTGCCATCTTAAAGCCTCTCTGTCTTAAATCTTCCATGGCAATAAGATCGGCTCTAGCGGCGTATATCTTGGGTACCCCGCTGAACACTTTTCTACCGTTCGATTGCAGCCTGTTCAGCGCGGGCCACACATGCTTATAAAACACGACTTCGTTTCTGAACAGTAACTCGCTCTTAAATGCCTCGCGATGTTTCTTGGATTCCGGCAGTATCTTGTAAATGATGGCACACTCGTAATTAATGTGTTCCTCGTTTTTCAACAGCTTGCGTCCTTTTGCCCGGACCCGGTACAACATTGAGGTATAATTATCTCCTCTTCCCGATCCTGGTTCCTCTTCTAGACTGTCAATCTCCACGTCGGGCTCATCCTCAATAATTAATTCACGGATATCGTCGAGCATAAGTTTATTACTACCATCGCCGCTGCTATCCATCATCTTGACAGATCTGCCGGAAGCTTCAATCGTTTTAGGACGATGATATCTTCTCGATTTTTCCGGATGGAGCCGACTTTAACATCCTATACTTGACGGTAGATCGAAGAGTTGTGCCGACTGACGCAGGAAATGGGTATTTGAGCGGCTAGAGCGGTTGGAGGGTTGCTACCTCCCACTGTTTCCGACTTAATTCATTAATGATTTACGCCCCCCCCAGCTCTAAGAGACAAGGACATTGATACATGTTAATCATACGCCTCATCGTTTAGATTCACCGCTTTGAGTCTTGAAAACCTGGCGCGGGTTCGTCGCGCGGTGTATGAAATAATGATAAACAAGTAAATGGACTCTCGAAATTAAAAATTACAATGGATTTAGGCTATAAGAGTCAAACGCGGTTATTAGTGCGTGTCAATATAATTATTAATATACAATTCTTGATTACAAATTCCGGACGTTTCGGTTAAACGTTTTAATCATCTTCATCGACGAGTTCGCTAAGGTGTGCTCCATTGTAGACCGAGAGAATTGGACACAAATCAGACACAATTTGTCTACAATGGAGTACACCTTAGCGAACTCATCATTGAAGATGGTTAAAACTTTTAACCAAAACGTCCGGAACTTGTAATCAAGAATTTTATTTTAATAATTACATTGACACGCCTTATAACCGCATTTAACTCTCATAGCCTAAATCCTTTATGATTTTGAAATAATGATAATGGAGAGCTTTGTTTCGTTGGCACGTTATAGGTTTGTACACACAGTGGAAGAATATCTAATACTTAAAATCCATATACTTAAAAAAATTTCTACATTTACTTGTATTAAATACAAATGTATTCATTGTATTAAAAACAGCAATAATTGTGTGAAAAACGTCATTGTCACATTTTTATATCTTGATAAGATATTTATATTACAATAGCATTATATTTTATGTTCCTTGTTCCTTACGAGCAACAGAATGACCCACACTCGATTGAATCGACTAGACCAAACAGCTTGTTAGGAGCATGGTTTTAATCGAGTCTAGAAAGATTGAGTTTAGATTCCGCAGTAAGACGCATCTTGCATTTGTATCAGTTGTCAGATTGCTAAATCTTTTCATTACTGGGAGAATAGGAAAGAAAAAGGGGAAAGATGTAATAAATAAGAAAATAGAACTGCAAGTTACAAAGTGAAAAAAAAGGACAGTTGGACAAGGTACAAGGACCTGTACAGTACAGGAGAGATGACGAGAAAGATTGAAATAGATAACACGGATATGTAAGAGCAAAGAGTTTTTCAAAAGACTGGAGAAACGATCTTCTCATTGATTCCTACCGCATCGATTACAGTAGACCGAAAGTTGTAAAATAAACACACATTTATGTATGTATGGTACGTACTTTATTAATTAATTCTCATCAGAGGCCTGTAATGAGAGAACGTCGTTACCCACTAAACTAATTAATATATTTTCCTGAGCAGGAGTAAGGGATACAGTTTTGTGTAGCTTTTGAGCCATTTCCCCGGCTCCATGTAAATTATGGAAAGTAACATATTCCAGAAGTGTCTAGAAGTAAATGCACCGACGTTATATTGAAATTAATTGATACTAATATTTAACGTTTAATAGATGTATACTTACGAAAATTGCTGGCACATGCGCTTCCGCTAAACACAGTTCAAATATTTCGTTTATATGTTCCGTTGTAATGGTATGGTTATTCTTGATTAAGTGCGGAGAACGAACCAATGATGATATAATTTCTACGATTTTGTCAAAATTATTTCCACGTAGCAACAATAGGATGACGTTGCCCGCTACTGTATTGGAGATCAAGAAGTGCCGCATTCTTTTGTTATTCTGAGCCTGTTAAGAACAATACAATCGTATATTACTCCAACATATATGATTATGAAAATTAAGTCCCCTAACAATATTAATTTTAACGATAGATTCTCTGTTTGATTTGAAATCGACTTGGTTTTTCTTTTTCATCGTGAACAGCTCGGAAAAATGTTTAAGTGTGTCGACATTTGCTAAGCCAAAAACTTATTCCAAATTCGTAAGAGAATCTGTCGTTAGACGCACTTTGGGGATACCCTATGTAATTTCAATTACTTCTACATGATTCCATATAGTGAGCGCTGACTCTGCGAAGTGCGCATTCAACGAAGAATCGGGCGCGGGTTTACAATGTACGCTCATCAAGTGCAATATATTCTCTAATAACTCTTCCCTGTCTAGATGACCGAACATGACCATGTGCGACCAGAGTTTTGGTATATATCGCGTGGCGGTCTCCGCGGGATGTAATTTAAGAGCTTCCAATATAGCACTCATCACGGTAGGTTCCGGTATAGTCACATGCGGTACAAGCTTGCTGTAAAGCTCGAAGAACGTCTCGAGATTTTCCGTTGCCAAAATTAACTCTAAATACATCCGGTAATAGACATGGTCCTAGGACAAAATATTAGTTATAAATATAAACATACATATACGTATAGTTAACTAATTAAATGACGTATTTTCAGGAATAGTTTGAACAGAACGCGCAACATAATATCAACATCTCAGACCTTGTAAAAAATTATTTATTTACATAAGAGTGTTCAAACTCTTTGCAAGTATTACAGGTTCTGGCTAAGTTCTGTTCTCGTATAAAAGGTTTCCAGTAAAATTAAAAGATTTTTAAAAGAATATTGCCAATCTTGTTCTTTACGTATATTGATATATTTTATTATTAATTGTAAAAAGAAGCAAAATTATCTCACTGCACGCGGTGTTTTCTGGACAGAATGTTATCTGTTGAGGATTTAAGAAACTTACTGTAATATTATTGCTGATGAACTTGTAGTTTTCACCGGTGAGAAGAAGCTCGTTCACCATTTCACCCGCTTGACGATTACAGAACTGGTGGGACGCCAATTCCATCGCGGTAACAAAGAAATGTAAGTCTTTTTCACTTTGAATGATAAGGGTCTCCTCCTTCAAAGACTTTAAAATTCGTATAAAGTTACTGTATGCCGCGTCACCTGTTTCAACGAATAAACTCGTATACATTTGGCCGGCACAAAATCTTTGCGAGATAAGGGAACATGTAATTACCGAATCTACTTAAAATTCGCAACATATAATAATACGTAGCTAACGATGGCTTTAGCTTGAATTTCGTGATATCGGCGAGTATGTTGCGTGTAAAATCTACAGCTACGTGATTATTTCTCATAGCAACAGCCGCACTGAGAGCAGCATTAAAGGTATGTATGTTTGGAGCAACCCCGTTTGCAGCCATTGCTCTGTAGATATCCATTATCAATGATTTTGCTTTCTCCTCTCCTATTTTGACTGATATCGTCGATATTATAGCATTATATCCGTCTACGGATAACGGTATATTTTTGCTTTGACTCTCATCATACAAATGCCGAGCCTTGTCCGGCTAAAACGACAAAATCATCAAATTTGTACTGAAATTTATAAAGCTGTTCAATAAAAGAAAAAGGAAAATTGGGCAATAAGAGCCAAAGTGCATAGTTGACGTAATACACGTATTTTAAATTTAAATGATTTATTCGACGATATCAACAATAAACAAATGTACGTTTTGGTCTATAAAATTATACTTACAATTTTAATCATTTTTTTCATATTCACTAAAGAGAGTCCGAATCTTTTTGGTTTATAAAATTATATTTAGTTTTAATCTTTTCTTTTATCCGCCGAAGAGAGTCCTAGGCCGGTATTCATAGTCGGATCTTTTATTCAAGACCGTCTTGAATTTATCTAAAGATGCTGTATGGAACATTTCATTGGCTACGGAGTATTTAAAGATGATCTTAAGACGGTCTCGAGTATAAGATCTGACTATGAATACCGGCCCTAATCTTTAATAATAAAACGTACATTTGTTATAAAGTTAATCAGCAGATTTCAATTTTCCTTTTTCTTCTATCATCGTGCATTTTTACATATAAAATATAAATCCAATTACGCAATTAAGTTGACGCGTATGACTGATTAAAAAATTATCTTACATTGTAATGTTTAACTAAGCCACATATCAGTGCGGTATACGCAGCGGCTGCTACTGTGGGTTCCTGTTCCTTCAGAAATTCAAACAGTACATCGATTTGCGGGTAATTTCTGTAAATCGCAAAAAGAGTACCAAGTATTATTCAAAGCCAAGCGGAGGAAAGTCCGTCAGTAAGAAAGAGATAACGTTCAATTCTCATCCGGAAGACTCACATCCACAAGTTCTTCGGTTTCTTGTTTAAAGAAAACCAACGCGTCTCGAATAATTCTTCGCTGATATGTACAGTATTATTGTAAAAGCACAACATTTCCAAGAGCGCCTGTTTGGTTGGTACGGTCATCTCGCCTTTCAGTAAATCGTATATCATGATGCAATTGGCAACGTCGCTGTTCGATATCTCGTATAATAACGTTTCCTCCGTCACTTTACTTTCCTCCGTGTAAACGGGAAGCGGTACAAATGCCTGCGAAAAACAAGGATAACACATCAGCACGCTGATAATTGAATCTGCACACAACTCTGTATCAACAGCGAGATTTTATATGCCTAGACGTGCTCGATCGATGGCATTGCTCCTGACGGTGTTACCTTAATTTCAGGATCAGCTACTTTGTGCTGAAATAAATCGGGGTGTTCCTGGCGAACCCACATCGCGGTCTTCCTTCCGGACTCCTTCGCCAGGGCGTACGAGCGATTGCTAATTTTGGACAGCGGCGCCAGGTAAGGGTCGTCGTGATATTTGTAGTGTGGCGCGGTGTAATCCCTGGATATCGTACCTTCCAAAGCCTGCGAGGCAAATTGATACATTCGTAGAGGCGCGTTACCCGAGCAAACTTGCTCCTCAGGCGTGAATTAAAGTAGGAGGGAGTTCATTTACCTTGAGGATATCTGTCGAACCGCGTTCTATTCTGTTTGGGATACGAATATCCGAGGTTGACGTGGTCGACTGCGACCGCACCGCCAACTCCTGGTACAGTTTCCTGCGAGTGTTTAAAGGATACGAGTAAAATTATTGAGTTACGTGTTTTGTTCACCCTCGAGTATCCTTCCGGAATCGTTTCATAAATGCGTATCCTTAAAGATCGCCGGATATCGGATCAAATAATAGATGTAACGTGTATGAAAGATAGATTGAGCGTACAAAATAAACGATCGAGTCACTTTCCAACGTGGCGAAATTATTTCGAATACTCTCGTGTCGGTGCGTGCGTACCGAGACTCGGCGATTCTGCTTGAAAATAAATCTACGTGCGTAAACCGAATGAATCACAATTTGTTACGTACCTACGCGAGATTCTCGCTAAAGAATTCATGATGTCGCTTGTGAAGAAGGAGAGCAATTCTCTGTTATATTTTTCCTCCCTCGATGATCCCTGCAGCCCGCAAGTTTCGAGGTTAGACCGGAGGTCGCAGGGTTAGGTTAGGTTGGAATCAAACGCGCCCGCATGCTTGATGCCAGCGGATAATGCATTCCGCGCGGTAAATCGACAATAAATTCGATACTCTTTCCGACGCGACAAGAGCATTAAAGTCGTAATTAGATATAAATGAATTAACCGGCGACGTATACGAAGTGAGCTCGTATAATTTTTCAAATTGATTTAAGGTGGCTGAAATTCTGCATAGACCGACCGAGAGTAGAAAACATTGAAATTTCAGTAAGTATAATATGTGTAGTTGTAAAGTTTATCTATCCACATACATATCTAAAAGACGACTTAAAGACGTCTTAAAGCCTAATCTGTAATGTATTCTCTGCATTCAGAAACGTTCTATTTTATATAATCAATTAGACGCTTAAAAAATTTGCCGACAGCGTACGATTGTAATAAATAAGTTTAAAAAATTTGCGCAAGTGGATAAATTGTACAGTGTATACTATACAATTTATCTATTATCTACTATATAATTTTTAAACGTATTTATTGACCACATAAACAACTTTAAATTTATATCCCACGAACAATTCAATAAATGTTTTAAAACTCAAATAAAACCTCGACTTAACACATTTAGACAAACTTCTTATAAGCTTTTAATGAACATATTATTTTTTCCAGGGCAAAGCATCCACACTAACCGCTCCTTCGTGCAGGAGCCACCTTAAATTGGACGGCGGAGCAACACGTTTACTTGCGAGAGCTAGAAATTTCGATTAAATTCCGATTGACTTAATTAACGCCTTTGAGTTAGACGATACAATTTTTAACCGCATATTTTGTCTCTGATCTTATTTCTTTTCTTTCGTCTCCAAAGAGTAGAGCAATAATTAATTATTTGTCATCGGCTTCGCTCTTGTTTGCGCTTTTCTGCGCAGCGACTGCATTGCACGATGTTACTGTAGTTCCACCTGGCCTGTGATGCATTTAGGCTTCGGGAACATCACCTGAGTGCCTTGTACGGGAATTCTGTAACTTGCTGTCGAGACTCTTCGGTGTCGTTAACTAGCGATAACTCATGGAAAGCTGCGTCTCTTTCGTGGATCGTCTTTGCCACTGGCTGTCGCTAGTTAGGCTGCCGTTCGGAAACATCACCCAAGTGTCCCCGTGTATCACCTTATCCCTATTTAATATTCGGTGAGTAACAAGGATAAAATAATCCACTGGGCACTCGGGTGACGTTTCCGAACGCAGCCCTAACGTTACCGAAGAGCATCGATAGCAAGTCGCAGAAAATGACACACCAGACCCCGTACTGGTGTGTCATTTTACCTCGGTTGCTCACCGAATGGTAAACAGGGATAAAATGATACCCCGGGGCACTCGAGTGACGTTTCCGAACGCAGCTTTACAAGTATCGACGCGGCTCAACCCCCGCCGGCACACGTCGATCTCTCGTAGAGCAATAGGACATCTGGTAGCGGTTGCCTATCCGCAGGCTTCGCTTCTCCTAACGGAAATGCGTAATGTGCGCAGGGTGTCTCTGCATTTTTCTGCCACCTTTAATTGTAAGATCCGAGATAACAATTCTTGCGCGCAAATTTTGCTTGTCTTATGCATGCAAACTTGTATGGGATTTGCCTGAGTTTTGCTCGTAAGATATGCTTAGCCTCTGCTTTTGCACGCGAGTGGTCAGCTCGCATATTAACGTATAATTTTGCGCGCAAATATCTAACAGCTTACGTACAACGATGGCTCAACAACGCAAGCAAAATCCCATCCCAGTGCGTCGTCATAATGCTAGACGTTTGCGCGCAAAATGTTTTCTGGGGATAAGAGTGACTTTGATCAAACTCTGATTAACTTGACCGATTGACTTACGAGTATTCGTAAGCATTTCGTTAGATAGAATTATTAAATTCCGTTGTTTGACAGAGAGATTAAGTTAGAGCAAAGTTTTATGGAAAAGTTAATTAGCTGGTATTGAATTTATTACCGTTTGAGCTTATAGAAATTTGACCAAGGCTACACCCCTGACAGATTTTGCATTTCATCATCTAAATGCAAAAGTCGACGGAGCTTTCGCGCACGAAGACCCACACTTAGAACGATCTAATTGTGTCAGAATTCAAGCGAAGATTCTTTACAGTTTCACGTCTAGTAAAATAAGGACGCGTCAAATTAAACGGCACATAAAATGACAGATAAAATTCCGCCCTAAAATCTGAGAGGACGAATTACAGATCCAGCCGAAGTGGGCCCGAGGTATCCTCGTAGTGTACCTACCAGCGTGGGATTAACATGTTACACGAGAGTTACAGTGACATAAGAATTAATTCTGATGGAGAAAAAGTTAAATTCCCACTGCATAATATTAGAATGGCCGATGACCCACTTACGAACGCGCTTGTTCGGAATAGTGCGTCATCGGCGAACGCATTGTTCCTTCGTTTTAGCAGCAGCTGGCCTCACCACCGTCACAACTACCATCGCCATCACCACCACCACCACCGCCGCCGCCACCACCACCACAACCACCATCGTCGCCGTCAGGCAGAGGGTACATCTTGCACCCTTCTTCATTAAATAGCTCAAGGTATCATCCTCTCCTTGGTTTTTAACGACGACGTAGGTATGAGCTGCTCTCGGGCAGCTGCTCTCCTCTCTCGGGGAAAAGGTACGTACAGGGAGAGCGAGCGAGCAAGAGAGAGTGAGAGGGAGGTAAAGGAAGAGTGGCAGATAGAGATTCGTTTCTTTCAACGAATTTATTTGTTTAGCATATGAATGGCGCTCTCGCGCGAGAGCGCGCGTTCACGGTTGCGCACGGTGAACCCTTTGGCATATTACAAAGAATTCAATAAAGTTCGTAAGGAAGCCCGGGAGGGAACCACACAGTCTCAGGCCGGAGGCCGGCGAGAGCGGCAGAGGAGAGACGGAGAAGGAGAGAAACGAGCCGAAGGGAGACGGAGAGAGAGAACTCCCTCTTCTCCGTGAGAACGCGCATGCTGTACCTTATTCTGGACCCTATGCACATCAATGGGGAGCAAAGAGAAATCTCTTCTTTTTTTTCCGTCAGATATGAGTTCGCTCGGCAAACTTTGACACAGTACTTTGTGCACGATATTTCAGAGTGTTATATATTTTGATATTAAGACGTTCCCCAGCTTTAAGAGTCGCGCGCACGGATTTGTCACCAACAGTGCGCGGAATCGCTGTCCCCCTGACATGAGCAATGTTAAACGATAAGAAACGACATGTTCCTCCCTTCATTGTGTAAAACATTCAGACGGCGCTTTAATTCAACCCCACGTGTTGTCGCATCTAAAATTGTCCGTTCTAACGTAAAGCGAACACACGCGTGAAACGTGTCGTAATCAAGCCCACGCGTTCTCCGCAAGACTAATTAATTTTCTCAATGTCGCCGGCAAATTTTGAAATCTCATTCATCGGGCACACTCGGGCTCGCGACGCACGCGACAGAACGAAAATGCATTATTCTCTCTCTTTCTCTCCCTCGCTCGCCTCGGACCGCGCTTAGGAGCTCCGTCGCTCCGTGTAGCTGAAAACGAGCAAGACGCGCGTGCACCCGCGTGTACGTATGCGCGTGCACGCTCGCACGCGTACGCATACACGGGCGCGCACGGACGGAGGGCGGCGGGCGCGGTGGGGCGGGCGGGCGAGAAGCCAGGTGTTTTATTTCAAACCGTGGGACTCTCCTTAAAGAGAGGGATGCTTTTGCGCGTCGCGCAGCGCGCGTTACACGCGCGCGCCCGGCCTCGGTCCCGTCCCGTCCCGGCCGCGGGAGCGAGACGGAGAACGGCGTCAGAACGAATGAAAAACAGGATTCGCGTCCCTCTCCACGCTGCCACGGGCAGCCCTCACTACTTTTATTGTGTTTCCTTGTTCGATCGAACGTAACGTAACCCTCCCGCCCCTCCTCGCCGCCCTTGGTCCTTTGATAGCGGGTTTTTCCTCTTCCTTTCTTCTTTTTTTTCTCCCTCGCCGTTTTCTTTGTGCGCCTCCGCGCCCGAGAGAATCGTCGGGAACGCGCTTCGCGTCCACGGGGGTACGTTTTACACGTGGCACCTCTGCGCGCGGAAGAGCAAGGAGAGAGAGGAGTGACACGAAGCGCAAGAAGTATACTGTGTATCCATAGAGCGCACACATGTCTCTCTCTCTCTCTCTCTTCTCTCTCGAGAGCAGAAAAGCCGAATCCGAGTCCCCGCGAGCTTGGCTTGGATTCGGGGGCCCGCGGTACGCGGGGCGATCCTGCTGGGGAGAGACGTCCGTTTCCCTCGTCCTCTCCGCCCGTCCCTCTTTTCCTGCCTCTTCCTTCCTATGCCGTGCGACCGTTCGTTCGTCTCGATGGAACGGTTACGTGAGCATCGCGCCACACAAAAGGATGCGCGCGGCTTCCTCTCCCTCTCTCTCTCTCTCTCTCTCTCTCCCCTTTCTTCCTTCCGAATTCGTGCGCGATCGTTAATAACCGCGTCTCGCAAGGTGGCGGAAACACGCTGTCGTCCACCTCGCTCCCGAATCGGCCGGAAATGCGCGGCGACGCCGAACGACATCCTGGAGAAAAAGTGCTTTCTCCCTTTTCCCAAAGAATCGCGCGTATACGAAAATGTATCGCCCGCGAAATTCCTCGAGTTACAAAGCTGTTTTCCGACGACGCCTACTCTCGCGGGCGACGAAAACGGGCGGCTCGAGTGAGACTGTTCTCTCGTCGACGATTCTCTAATTTCCTTTTCGCCCGACTTGACAAAATCGTCTCGGGATACTCGATTGGGTGTTTTTCTCTTTCAAGGACGCGCGAAGGAAGACCGGAGGGGATTGCGGGAAGATGAAGAGCGATTTCATGTCCGAGGCAATTGCACTTGACTTTATTGTTCGCCATTTTTGCGCAATATATTTTACAAAAGGCATCTTCATTTCACAACTTTGTTTATAAAACAGATTCAAGTAGATTTAATACATAACAATTACAATACATAACGTTGCTACAATTGAAAAGTTAAGGACTGTCGCACGATACATTACATCAACGAGAAATATATTAGCAATTCGATT